TATAAAACTATTTATTTCGGAATTAGTAAAAGAAAAAATATTAATTAAATATTTATTATAAAATAAAATATAAAATAGAATTAAATATAATTCTTTTATTAACTAATTTAGATTAATTTTTATAAAATTAATTTCAAGTTTATTAAAAAAAAATCTTTTTCTAAATATTCTTATTTCTTAATATATTATTTATATTAGCTTTTATAAACTAATTGTTTTTCTATAATTTCTTAATATTAATAAAGAACTTTAATATTAGATAATTATAAGTAATATAACTAATTTAAAAATAATTAAAATAAATTAAAGTTGAAATAGAAGTATTTTCTCTTTTAATAACTAGCTTACTAATAATTAAAAGTATTCGAACTAATATAAAGATATAAGAAATTATTATATATAGTTTAAAAGCAAAAAATATAAAGATATTAGAAATAGTAGAAATTAGAAAAATAATTATAGTTTAAGTCTTAATATATTTTCTAAGAATTTTATAGGTTTATAATATCTTTATTTCAAAATTAATTAATAAAGCAATATAATATAAGCTATAGAATATATAAATAAAATAATATTTACTTATAAGTTGTTTTTAAAGAAAAAGTATTAGCTTATTATATAGCTTATTAAAATAATCTTATAAATAAATCTAAGCTTTATTTATTAAATAAATAAACTTAGTTTTAAACTTATAAAAGATCTAAACCTTATTTATTTATAGTTTCTTATATTTATATCTAGCTTTATATATATAATAAAAATTAATAAAGTATTTACTAAAATAATTAATTATTTCTATAGCTATTTTAAAAGAATTAGTAATATTAGACTTATATTAAATATATAAATAATATTAGATATTACCTTTTATATAATTAAAAATATAATATATATAAGTATTTTTATTTATATAATAGTTTATATTAATTTTAAATTTATTAATAATCTGAATTTTTATTATTACTAAGCTTTAAGAAATCCGGAATTTTTATAGAACGGAACTTGCTATATTTAGAGATTTTTTTGGCCGGATATATTTATTTAATAAAAGAAATTTATAAATTAAATATTATATTATAGTATTTAGATTAGAAGTATATATTACTTAAAATATAATTTCTATTAATAAAATATTCTCGGAAAACCTTATTTATATTAAGTAAATAAGCAAAATTAATAGCCAAGCTATTTAGAATTATATAATTAATTTAGATATCTATTTGAATTTTAATTTACGCTTATTATAATATAAATATATTAAAATAGATATTAAATAAAATAAGAGATCTTATCTTTTCGAGATAAAAAATTCTATTCTAAATATATTTTTAGAACCGAATATAAGAGATAGAATTATAAAATATAAATAAAGAGCTTTAGAAAAGCTATTAGTATAAAAGGTTATATTAAAAATATTATATATATATATAATTTATATATATAAAGTTATTTTTTAGAAGTAAATAATTATTTTAGAAAAGATATTCTAGAGTTTTTTTATATAAAAAAAAGAGCTTAATTTAATATTATAGTTCTATAAAAAGAGTTCATAAATAAGGCAGTTATAAAAGAACTATTTATTTAGAAAATTAAACTAAAAAAGAAAAAAAGCCTCGAGTTAAAATTCCTTAAATATTTATAATTTCTTGCTTATAGCTTAGTCTAATAGAACTTAATATCCTAAATTTCCCAGAGTATAGCTTTCTTTAGTAATATACCTATATTATATATAACTATTAGATAATTATAAATATCTAAATATATAAATATTTAGATATTATACTAAATAGAATATAAAATCGTAATAATAAAAGGCTTTATAAGGCAATTATAAACTCAATTAAAGGCTATAATAGCTTAATTTTATTATTATAATATTTTATATAATTATTTTAATAATTAATATTTTATTATAAATATTAAAGTTATTAAATTTAATTTATTAATATAAGTTAACCTTAATAAAATAAGAAATTACTAATAAGTAATATAATTATATTTTTTTTATTAGTAAAAAATATTTATAATTTTATATTTATAAGTATTAATTATTAATTTTTATATAATTATAAAAAATAAATTATAAATATAATATTATATTTATAATAGCGGGATCGAGGCAATGGCTAGAACTTAAAGATCCAAGAATTTCATGTATTGAAAATATTAAGCTAAAGAGAAGAAGAAGAGAGAGAGAAAAGAAAAGGGGATAAAAGAAGGGAATACTAGCTAAAACTACTAAAATGCCGGCTAGCTAGGTAAAACTAGTCATGTAATAGTTATTTCCCTAGCCAGTGCCGTTATATTATTCCCCCGGAAACCAAATCTGAATGCCCTTATTCAGGTATATAAAATATAAAAGAAATGAGATTTTGACGAAACCCCTAAAACGGCCCGTTTTTAATAGTTACTGTCCGACTAATAGCCACTACCTGAGGCTCCAGAACTAGCCTCAGACCCAAAATCGTTTACAGAACTATCCGCAGAGCCGTTAAGAGAACCGTCTATCGAACCAAGCTCGTCTGCAGAGCCCAAATCGTCTGTAAAACCGTTTATAGAACCAAGCTTATCCAGAGAACCGTCTATAGAACCGACCGCAGAGCCCAAATCGTCCGCAGAGCCGGAACTAGCCTCTATATCTGACTCAAACTCTACTCTAGAGCTAGCTTTGCCAGGGTCTTGTCAGCTCTCAGTTTCCTCAGAGGACAAGTCATTAGCAGGAGGACATCGTAAATAAGCCTCTTCTGGGGTGGAATCGTCCGAATCGGACGAGTTAGAGAAAGGGTATTATATCCGACTATGTTGAAATTAGTACGCTACCATAGCTAGCTTACCAGTCCTTCCAGTACCAGGTTCAACCACTAATTTAGGGTTCTCTACTCTCATTTGTCATGCGTCACTCGCCGAGCTTACCAAGCTTACTAGTATATCCTCATTTTGATTACCTTCGATTTATCAGCTAATTGATAATATATCGGAGAAAGCGGGTTCGGCATTACCGGTATCGCCGAAGGGTAATGGGAATAAATCCCTTACCTTGGACACTTTTCCTCTGTTTCTAGAACTCACTCTCCTGTATCTAGTCATTTTGCAGATTGTCAACCTCCAATATATCGATTTACCATCAATATATCGATCATTTTCCAATAGACTAGAAGGTAATCGTACGGGCGGCCGTATAAGGGGCGGATGAGAAAGAGGCAGACGAGGAAGAGGCGAACGAGGAAGGGGCGATTAAGGGAGGGGCGATTATAGAAGGGGTAATCATAAAACAGTTACTTCTATTTTAAATCGGCGAACTGGAACCGATTACCGGGTTTCTTCTGTTTTAAATCGGGAACCCGAAACCGATTAGCGTATCTCTTGTTTTAAATCGGAGGATTGCCGATTCTTGGAGGGAGATACCGGTTCTTTTGCTCTTATTGATATTAAGGAAGGGTATACCGTCTGCTTTAGTTAAGGGCCAAATTCCGAGGTTAACTAGGTTATAGAGGACAGGAGCGTCGTCTGCTCTAGTTAAGGGCCAAATTCCGAGATTAACTGGGTCTTAGAGAATATATCTTTCTTCTTTTAAGCCGGCAGAAAACTGACTATTAGAACGTCGTCTGCTCTAATTAAGGGCCAAATTCCGAGATTAACTAATTTATAGAGGACGTATCTTCCTTTTTTTGAATTCGGGAGGATTACCGAATATTAGGAACGGAATTCTGTTCTCGCCCCCTAAGGACAAGTATAGATCCTTTACCGGCAGTATTCTATTGCCTCTATAGGCTGAGTAAATAAGCTTAATATAATATAATGGCGGAATCGAGGCAATAGCCAGGGCTTAAAGATCCAAGAATCTCATATATTAAAAATACTAAGCTAAAGAGAAAAAGAAGAGAGAGAGAGAAGGAAAGGGAATAAAAAAAGGAAATACTAGCTAAAACTACTAAAACGCCGGCTAGCTAGGTAAAACTAGTTATATAATAGCTATTTCCCTAGCTAATACTATTATAATATTAATATTTATAAATATTAATTTATTTTTTATAATTTTTTTTAAAAAAAAACCCTATAATATATAGCTTTAATTAAGTTTTGTTTTATTATAAGTAATAATAAGCAAATATTAAATAAATATAATAATTTCTATTTTATTAAATATATTTTAAATATAATTAACTTTTATAAATATTTAAATATTATTTTATAAATACTTTTAAATTATTAAATAAGCTAATATAAAACTATTAAAGTTCTTTATATTTTTACTATATAAGTTTATATTTATTTCTTTTTAAAGAAAATAAAAACTAATATTATTATATAATAATTATTTATAAAAGCTATTAAATATTCTTATTTATGCCTTTATACTCCTTAGCTTGCTAAGACAAGAAGGGGCTTTGAAAAGCTTACTAGAAACTTTTTCGAGGCCCAAAAAAAAGAGGTCCTAGTCCGGGTTCAGTTAAGAGAAATTTGTTATATGATATCGTCTCACCTGATATTCTTGCCCGTTTCTGCACGTGGTTTCTCTGACGTATCTTTGGTGAAGTAATATAGCCTGTTAGGTTGAAATTATATTATTGTCTACTACCCTTACTCAACCCTTGTTATTCCTCCTGCGTTCAAACATGATTCTCAGATGCAGTCCAGTACAGATAGTGCCGAGTGGCAAGTTGTAAATCGACAGCGGTCGCTTGCGATTGAACTCCGCTGCTCGCGCCCCTTTAGTCATTGTTCCTTCACAGGGTACGCGCCCAAACATACAAACAACGGCACTAACTTAAAGAATATTCTGGGAACAGCTCGCTAATTCTAGAATCGTCAGTACTAGTAACCGGTTGGATGCAAGAAATACAAAAGTAAGTTCCAATTGTATGAGCGACACCTAACCTGTTACTTATCGTCTCGGGCGTGTTTACGGCAGATTGGATGTTTGCATCTATCACGGACGAGGGCGAGAAGAGAATCCGGAAATATTGGCCAAGGCAGATATTGTGTTTACCACCTACCATATGATCGCCTCTAGCACTGAAGGTCTCAAAGCTGAAAGTCCCCTGTTCCGAGTTTGCTGGTTCCGAATGGTGCTCGATGAAGGTATGCGAAATTTTATTCCCCCCTTTCAGACACAGCAAGTCCACTAATGTCCGACTCCGATGCAGTCCACACTATTCGCAGTGGTTCAATCAAGAAGTTATACCAGACCGCCGCGAGGCTTGACAGTAAGCTGCGTTGGTGCTTGACACACCTGTGCAGAACAAATTGGAAGATCTAGGCTCTCTTGTCTCTTCCTGCGCATTCCTCAGCTTGATACTGCAGCCACCTTCAGGAAAAATGTCATTCAACCTCTCATGAAAAGTACTGGCGCGGGATCAGAAAGTCTACGTCTCCTCCTCGACTCAATATGTTTGCGTCGTTCCAGAAAGCTTTTGGACCTTCCCGAGACCAATGTCAATGACAGGGTTCTCGAGTTCTCCGAGGCCCGAGAAGGAGCAGTACCTATCCGCTGAACTGTCGGTGTCAAAGGCGACCAAGTATCAAGCCAATCTTGAGAGCACAAAGAAAAGGTTCTTCGGAATTTTCCAGCTCGAGATGCGATTGCGACTGCTATGCAACCATGGTACATTCCAGGGGTCCCTTTCTCAGAGCACGAGTCTGATACAAGGGATCTCGAATTCAACACACAAAAGCCCAAGGATGATCGCTGCGATTATTGCAAGGTTCATTTATCTCAGAACGTGATTGACAGATTGTGGATGAGCTTTTCAAAGGCCACTTCACTGTCTGTGGTCATCTGTTGTGCTCACAGCGCCTCTCTCGATTCGAGCACGCAGTTGCAATATCTAAAGAAGAATCTGGACTTAGATGTCCGCTGTGCGATACTCGAATAAATGGATACTATCTGCAGCAAGGATGCCCTAATATAGCAGATGGGTTGAGCGAGAATGGTGTGTCGTCCAAAGTTGTAGGTCTTCTTGCAGACCTCGAGGAAAACGCCAGGGAAGGAAAGAGGTACGCCAAGTCTTGTATCCACTTCATCTGCATCAGAACAAGTTAATTCTTCTTAGTGTCATATTTTCGGGGTGGACCAAATCCTTGGATCTTATTGAACGCTCTCTGAGAATACAACTTCGATTCGAATGGATTGACGGGTCTTGCTCAATAACTGAAAGGAACCGAATTCTTGACGACTTCAAGAAGAACTCCAATACGCAGATATTAATAATAATAATAACAGGAACCGGAGTTATTGGGCTCAACTTAGCTATTGCAAATTTTGTATATATTATAGAGCAGCAGTGGAATCCTATAATTGAGAATCAAGCCATCGCCAGGGTCGTACGACTGGGTCAAAAGAAGAATGTGTCCGTGTCTGACCGTTTTCATCCTCAGAGTTGACATTAATATTGGCATATTATAGTAGTCGTTTGACTACTTCTTTATTACCATTATATTGCCGCCAATTCTGCTTTGGGGCCATAGCCTATAATAAAGGCATGCGTCCGTTCTCGCTCTCCAAGTTGGGGTTAACGCCGTCAATGGCAAGAAGTTATAATACTATCTTTTCATGACCTTCTTATATAGCTAAGGAGAGCGGTATACGTTCTTTTGAGTTCTTATAATCTGGTTTAATGCCTTCTGCTTTCAAGAGTAGTCTTATAACTGCTCTATGGCCCTTCTCAGCAGCTACTAATAGCGATGTCTCCCCCTTCTTATTTTGAGTATTTGGATCTATATCCTCGATTGCAAGAAATTGCTCTACTATTATAGTATGTCCGTTCTCTATAGCCAAGAATAACGGTGTTTGACCATGCCTATCTTTTGCGGTCAGATCAAAATGTTCTTTGGCGAGAAGGACTTTAACTATTATACTCTGGCCTGTTACTGCGGTGCGCAATAGTAGCGTCTGTTCGGAATTGCAGGAATATTGTCCTGACGACTTCGAGTCTGGGTCGATTCTTTCGTTATTCAGCAGAAGTTGGACAATTTCCTCGTCCTCTTTTTCAATAGCCCAAAACAAGAGCGTCCATCTGTGACCCTCCGTTCACCAATCCGAGCGATTTGCCAATCGGGGGCCCCGATTCCCAAATCGGACGCTACGATTAGGAAATCGCAGGTTCTTTACGATTCGGGCGTCCGATTAGGGATTCGGGGCCCCGATTCCCCAATCGGGTAATATTTGGGTATCGGGAACGAATAATAAAATAAGGATATATTAAAGATACTTCACCCATACTAAGCTTTACTGTCCACGCCTCCCACTATGTCTAGGTGCTACCTTAGCCCTTTTTGGTGCCCTCCCCTCCACTTAATTACCTGATTCTCCTTCTTTAGCTCTATTCTTACGTGCTTGCTTCTTAGCTACTTTCTTCTTTGCTCTCTCAGATGCCTTTCTAGCCTTCTGAACTAATGTAATTGAACTACGATTATTCTTCTTTGCCACTGCTTTAGAGAGAGTAATCTTATCCTTTTTGTGAACTACCCTAGTAGTAGGTAATTCAGGATAAGTCGATTGGGAGGTGATTTTATTAAGGGTACTATGCGGCCAGAGAGTAGTAAGTTCACTATACTTAGTAGCAAGCCGGTATCCCTATATTTATTAGCCTTAGTAAGTATATTTATATAGGATATATACGTACCTTCAAAGTTTTCTCCAGAACTCTTACTGGTATCCTTGCTATTTCCGTACCAAATCGATACTGTTTTGGTATCTGAAGCGTTATAATCTCTTAATCGGCAATTTAAGAGCCTTGGAATTCGCCTTCTTTACTATTTTCTCTTGCTGCTTCTTTATATGCTCCGTAACTCTCTTAGCCAGTTCAGATAAAATTATCTCCTTTGCCACTTTCTCTAGTTTAGCTTCCTGATTAATAAATAAGCTATCCTCTCCGTTCTCCTCTCCTTCTCCTTTAGTAACCTCAATTATAGACGATTCTCTACTCTTATTCCCCTCCCCTAGTGCCGTACGTATATACCGAGCATTCCCTTTATAGTCTTGAAAATTAGTAGGTGGCTTTCGTCCAAACTATATCTTATATAGCATATTACCCTTAGGTAAAGCAGAGGTAGGAGTAGTATTAATAACCCACGTAATTAATAGAAGTAATTGCATCCACGATTAGATACTAGTATCCGCTTATATAGCTTGCAAGCGCCTCTTGAATATACGATTAGCGATCTTAATAGAGCCTTGTAATTAAGGATAGTAAGCTCGTCTACGGATAATCTTTATCCCTCTTTGCTTACAGATCTCAATAACTTTGCCTTTGAACTCTCCTCTATTATTGCAAGCTAGAATAGAGATATATCTATTATTATTTAGCTATTTAATAAGCTTGTTTATAGCTTTGTCCGCAGTTTTAGCCTTAAGCCTACGGATCCAAATGAACTTGGAAAAGTGGTATTTTAATTACTAGATCCATATATATTCTCCGTCTGGATTATTCTATAATAGTATTAATGAAGTGTGAATAAAAAGGTTCGGAATTTTCGAAAAATCGTAAAAATCGCAGGAAAAGCTTAAAAACACACGAAATATACGAAATATAGGAAATGCAGGAATATAAGAGTAAATTACATGATTTAAAGGGCACTTATACGGAAGTTTATTAAATCCAGAACTATACGCTGGCCTGGAAAATGAGATTAGATAGGCTATACTTCTATATTATTCTTTTAAGCCTTCTCTTTATTATAGTAAGCGCATTATATACTAATCTATATATAATTATTACGGAATAGGCTATGCCAAATTTTCCGTATATACTCAAATATAGTCTCAGAGCCTATTATTTAATTAGTATAAAAATTAGTAGCTTTTAGAAGGGGGGGTTACTAACCAGGATATATTAATTTCTTATAAGTAGTAGTAAGAATCTCAAAAGCGTTATTATAGCAAATAGTATACCGGGCTGAAATAAGCTCTCTATATTAATTATTGTAGTATTCCTTGCGATATACCTGGCTGTCCTAAAGCTTATAGAGAGCGGAATCGTGTTTAATATTAGCCTGGTAGCGTTTCTCTGCCTTATTTCCATTAGGAAACGGAGCCTTCGGATTTTGTAACTACTATCTAATATCTATATATTTCCTAGTAGTAAGAATTTTCTTATTACCCCCTTTAGCAAGCCTCTGATCCCATATAGCTTCGTCTTTAGCAGACCAATTATTAGTAGGCTCTTTAGTAATAGGGGAGGGCAAAAACTGGGTGCCAGAAGAATGAGCCCCTGAAGTAGTAATATTAAAATATTGCTCTGCTCGCTTATATATATGCTAACGAGGCGTATACGGGGATAGGTATGAACGAAGGGTTAAAAGAGACATAGTAGAAGTGAGGTAATTAATTAAGAGGTATATAGAATTAGTGGTTGTGCTTGGAAAGTTGGTACTTGTACTGTAAACTATATACTATAAACTGTGTCTAGGTAGTAATAAGGGAGCAGAGGCCCTATACAGTGTGGGCAAAAACTACTCAAGCTACTCAAGCTACTCTAGAGTAGTCTTGAGTAGAGTAGAGTAGAGTTTGAGTAGCATAATATGGTACTTGAGTAGAGTAGAGTAGAGTACTACTCTAGAGTAACTCAAGAGTAGTCACGTGCAAGTCACGTAAATGTAATAAATTAATATTTATTTAATTATTAATAAATAAATAAGGCATATATTAAGCAGTACTATATAATTTAAGCTAGAGCTTATATAAGGCTACTTAAATACCACTTTTCTTCTATAAAAACCAGATTTCCCTCCTCGAAATCTTTCTTTTCCTGCTTTTTTTCTTCTCCTTCTACTTCTTCTAATTCGTCTTTAAATAACCCCCAGCTTTTTAAGTAAGATATTATCTTAATAGTACTCTTATTAAGTCTATTATGTAATTTAAATAATAAGAGTACCTTGAGAGAAGAGTTTGCCCTTAATAGCTAAGGAAGCCTAAGAATATATTAAGGTTCTACCTTACTTACCAAGCCTTGCCACTATTTGATTGGGCAGTTCAGTGGCGCTAGACTCGAGCCACCCCGGAGCCTTACCTAATTAGGCTAGCGTGTCACGTGTAACATCACGTGTTGTATCACGTGCATACTACTCAACTACTCTAGAATATTCTAGAGTAGTTGAGTAGAGTATTGAGTAGAGTATGAGTAGTGAGAAATTTATTTGAGTAGAATATGAGTAGGGCCCACTACTCTACTCTACTCTACTCATTTCCCACACTGGCCCTATATATATTTGGGAGCTCTAGAGAGATGTCTTTATTTCTATTATTACCTCCTTTAATATCTTAAATTAATAAATTAAACTTTAACCTATAGAATCAAAATATAAGGTGTGGTAAAGTAAAGAATATAGGGCTGAATGAGCTAGTAAATAGGGGGAATTTAGCTCCCTTAGCCCCGATACCGAAATATCGAGCGATTGGGAATCCGGGGCCCCGATTGGCAAATCGCTCGGATTGGTGAACGGAGGGTCACACATCCATTATTATCTTTTGCATCCGGATTAACTGAATCGAGACTCAAGAGCAGTTTGACGTAGGCGATTCGTGCGATGCGACCTCCCTCCGCGACATGTGATAGCGGTGTTCTACTCGGTGATTGTAGCAACGCCGTTGTGAGGAATGCATGCATAATTCGCCACTGCCTTCAGTCCAGGGCAAGGTTCTCTGAGATCGCCATTTCCAAGAGGGACAAGCGCGTGGTCTCCGGTGGTTGGGTCATATTTTTCTAAAGCAGAGAATCCAGGTGCAACTGGAATTGCCGAACGTCTGATCTTGGCATCTCCCTTGATGGAAGTTGCGATACCAGCAATTGTTTGTTTCTCTTCCTCGCTCACGGAGGGATCAAACATGTGAGATGGGAAGGCAATATTTCGGTGACACAGAAGGCAAGTGGCAGAAGGCATGATGAGTACTTCATGATGCGCAAACGTTTTTGAAAAATGTTGCACAGGAGATAAAGCTGAAGATAACCACAGTCTCCAGGACAGGAAGCGTGGGGTATATAAATGAGAAGGATATCTGTCTTAGTCACACTAAAGCATGGAATTGGTAATAGTGACGATGTCATTTTCCAAGCCCCTTAAATCAGCCCCTTAGTTGTCGGCATCCCGCCTGTGTTAAAGGAAAGTTTAGGTGGGCCTGTTATTTGGTGTGTTTAGAGTTCGGCCGGTGCAGTGTGGGCTCCGATAAATTATCGATCATAATTATTAATTAGTAATTATTATTAGCTAAGCAATTAATAGTCAATAGATATCGATAATTATTATTAATAAAAGTGGGCCCAGCTATTAAGCGAGTTCCATTACATGAATATCTCGCTTTCTAGTTCAATTATAAACCGATTAGTATATATATTTTAATATAAAAGTAGACTATTATTATTAGTATATTAAATAATTAGATTTGATTTAATTAGACCCCCCTACTCAAATCAAATTAAGTTAAAATCAAGCTAATTAAATTATACTTAATTATAATTAAAGATAATTAAAGATAATTAATTAGATTTATTACGTGATTATGCATATAACTCTAGAGCTTCGGAAGCCGAGATAAGGCTAAAATAAGATCTGGGCTAGCTATATTCAGTATTACTAAAGGCACTCTTTACTAAACCAGGCCTAGCGCTAATTAGTAAGCAAAGCTAAAGGCACTAGAACCTCTTTAATTTCCAGTATTATAGTAGTAGTAAAGAGCTTGAATTAAGCTAAAGGCTATCTGCTAGGCTAAGGAAATACTGGCCACATACTAAGTCACGTGCTATAGTATTACGTAGCTGGTATCATATAACAAAAACTAGTTTATTATTTTAGATTTAGACTAATTTTATACTCTTATATATACTTTATAGATTTTATTTATATTTTATTAATATAGCTATTAGTTATTTAATAATCTTTAGAAATGCCTAAGAAAGTATACTTTTATATTATTATATAATAATTATAATAAAAATTAAGCTAATTAAATTATACTTAATTATAGTTAATTATAATTAATTCTAATTAATTAGCCTTAACTATTTTTTAATATACTAATTATTATTATATTATTATACTTTTTAACTTTCTATTTAATAATCTATTATATAATATAAACTAGCTAGTATTTAATATATAATACTAAGATTTATATTACTATTTCTTTTAAAAGAATTAAAATTTTCATACTTTCTTTTATTCTCTCTTTAATATATAATAGTACTTTATTTTCTATTATTTAAATATAGCTTCTAAATCTGTTTTATTAATCTATTAAGCCTTTACTAATATAAACTTAACTTAATTCAAATCTAATTTCAAATAGAAAGAACTTATAAGAACTATTTAAGCTTATATTTATTTCGGATATTATGGGAGGGAAACTGTAATAAGACAAAAACCCATATAAAGTATACCAGAGCGCAAAACGTGACTTGATAGTAAAATAATAAATCAAAAGCATAAATAGTAAAGCATAAATAGTATATAGTATATAAAAGCTTAATTAATTAAATACTTATAAAGGATTATTCTCTAAGTCTATAGAAAAACCAGCTTTCTTATATAATTTCCGCAAGTCACGTGCCAAAGGCCACGGCCTTTATTATATGACCTAAACCTCAAAACCGCCAAAATAATATGATTTTTAATAAGTATAGCCTGCCATATTATATCTAATCCCCCATTTATTTATACTTATCCCCTAAGTACCAAAAATAATAGAAAAATCCTACTCAGAGTCCGAAATAACGAAATATTCAGGATCCTCCTCTATTAGTTAATCTAATTTCTTTTCCATATACCTAAAATAAGACTTATTACCCTTAAATAGTCTTATTTCGTACTCCCGAACTTGCTTAAAGGCAATCCGAACCCGCTTAGCCGCATTCTCACGCCAAATCCGATATAGTTCTCTATATTTATTAGCGTTCGCCTTTAACTATTACTTAATTTCCGCCTTTACTACAGGGTAATAAGGAGGCTTATTATAGCAAATCATATCGTAAATCGCACTAATATACTCTAAACAAATGGCTCCTTCAAATTTTATATTATCTATAGTATCCTTGAATTAACCTTTAATAGGAGGGGAAAGCTCTAGATAAGAGGCTTTAATAACCTTATAGGAGACTCCATTTTCGTATATTCCATTCTTAATAGTAACTAGACTTATTAGAATTATAGTAAAAGGCCTATTAAGTAGCAAATTATTATTAAGCTATCCTTTAACTTATATATTATCCGAGAATTAATACTTTCCCATAATTCCAGACTTATAGATTACCTAGCCAAAGGCATTTATTTATCTAGTTAAATAGACTATACTCGGAGTCTTTCCTCTTATTACTTTTAGTAAATACTTGCCTAATTCCTTAGCTACTTCCGGCTCAAATTTATTAGAAATAGAGGAGTAATTAATATCTTTAAAGAACTTCTTACTAAAGGTAGCGGCCTTCTTGCAGTCCGTAAGAAAAATATAGCTAATATTCCGATACTCTTTACTAAGGTAGAATTCGCTACTTAAAGCTTTAGTAGTAGCCAGATCTTTAGTATTGCCTTCGTACCAATTATAATTAATGTTTCCAGGAGCAAAGTATCGGGCTAGCTAAGGATAAGTAACTAGGTAGACAGGATACTTATTTAATACCTCGTGGAATCCGAGCCATATTAATGGATCTGCTATTAAAAGTTAAGAGGCTAAGATAAAGTAGCTATTACCAAGATCTCTATACTTTAATATATTATCTTTCCGGAGATAGAACTATAGTATCTCTATTTTTTCTATTAAGAGTTCTCGAATACTAAGCTTCTTAATCCATTTTAGGTAATTCTTCTTATAAATATGGCTATTTATACCTAGATTAGTAGTACTAGACTCAGGAACAGGAACTATAGTATTGAATTAGAGCTATAAATTTGGGCGGAATTAATTAGAAATATAGCGCTTGCGTCTATACTTCTTAATTTCCTAGGTCTTAAAGAAGAAATCCCATGTCTCCTTATCTATTCAAGTAACGGAAATATGCTTCTTGCCTTTAGTGACTTTATAGATCTTAGTAACTAGCTTTAGAGCGTCCTTAATTTCTCGCATATTAATAGAGAGAGCATTAGTAAGTTACTAAATATGTCTTATATAGGAAGCTTTAAGGAATTCATTATTAATTCCATAGTATTCCCGCTCATAAATAAGTCTCAAAACACTACTATATACTTCCTTAAAAGTATACTTATTTCACCGAGCAAGTATTAGCTTCTATTTAGCTAGTATCTTACAGGTGTACTAAATACCTTTATTAAGTTCTCCGGACTTAATATCCTTAGTCTTTCGCTTCTTGGTTCTAGATATAGTTATGAGAGTCTTTCTAGATAATATCTTTCCCTTTAGAATAAAGGGTTCCTTATTACTTTCCTCTATTTCACTAACCTTATGCTTGGTCTAGCACTCAGATCTCTGCTATCTATTAGGAGTCTTAGGCTTAGCTTACTCTCCTTCCTTGCCAGGCTTTTCTTATCTAGTTATACCAGTTCCGCTAGTCTTACTAATAGTTTTCTTACTAGTAGTTTTCTTACTAGGCTATATCGAATTAGCTCTATTTTTATTAGCTAAATCCAATTAAGTTAAAGCTAAAATTATAATAGGGGCCTATTCTTTAGGCTTATCTCGGAAAGCAGGAAAAGGCTCATTACTATAAACTCCCTTAATTAGGATTCCGGAAGTATTAAAGGTATACTATCTAGCTTTAAGGTTATTAGCTAATAGTGGCTTAAACTCTAATTCTCCAGGTTCTAATATAGCTTTAGTATGCTTAAGTACCTTGGTAATATCTAATTTAGTAAATATACTAGTATTTTAATGCTTCTTGTCCTTAATATACTCTAAAATAGCTTTATTAATTAACTAAATAGCTTCGCGTACTAAAGCTTTTGTCTTAAAGAAAGAATATAACTTCTTATAGATATTCTTGCCAAAGTTATTATAGACATTATTAATATATTAGCTAAAAGCTTTATTATATAGTATAATTCTATTTTATTCCTTAGTATTAAGACCATTTACTATAGTCTTAATCTTATTAAGCTTCTCTTATCTGCCTTTGGAAATGCCTTTAATAATATTCTCGAATTCCCTATTATTGGCTTAGTAGTTCTTTAGCTTCTCCTTAGTTAATCCTAGTCTAGTTCCGTCTCTAATAAAGGTTTTCTACTTTAAGAGCTCATTATACATGCCGCTTAGCTTATCTAGGACATTTGTATTAAATTCGGTAATTATAGCTATCTTTTCTAGTATTAGTAGGCCTTCTATAATTACCCAAGCTCCTTTAATACTCTGAACTTTAATACTATTAATCTATAGGCTTTTAATAATATTGCGGCTTATAAGAACTAGCTACTATGCTTTACTAGCTTAAGAAATCTGTACTTTGGCCATTTTATTATTCTTAATAAGTTATAAAGGTATTATTAGTATAATAGTTATAGGTTATAGAGTTAAAGGTTCTTGAGATTACGAGGATTTCTTTTAAGTATATTCCAAAATAAAAAGTAAATTAGAATAGTCTTGGATTACGTAAAGGCGTCACGTGTATTCAAGTTTTTCTTTCTTCCTAGTAAGAAAACAAAGCTGAAATAATAGTATATGTAATAGGGA